GCGGAGCCTTCCAGTTCTTTAAATAATTGTTAAATTACTAGTTATTAACATGCATACTTAAAAAAATACGAAAAACATTTTTCAGTATTAAGAAATAATAATTAAAAACTGCCATCAGCTGGAATAGAGCCCCCGATCTCACAGTTTTGTGTTAGATTTCATAATCATCAGCCCCAAATATACAAACCTGCCTTGCGGATATTTTTTAAAATTTTTTTTTAAATTCAATAAATTAAGTCATTTGGATACTTAACATTCTTGAAAAATGCTTTCCAAATTGATCAGTTCATTTAGAAGTAAACCATAATTCGGCTTATCTTATTCATTTTCAGCTTATGTATATATATACACCAAAAATTATTCAAAACTAGATTAGATATAACTCAAGGACTGCAAACTTAACTGTCGGATATAAAACCTTATTTAAGATTGAAAATGGTAAAACGAGGAAAAATCTACATTCCTCGAATTAAATATTTTAAAAATAGTCTGTTTTTAGGTTATAATATTCGTAATTACCTTAATAAACTTTAATCGTAATGTCGGGGTTCCGCCGATGGAAGACATTTAATATATACACACTAACGCTTTATATCAATTAGCAATTAGTTTTAGAATTACAATTATAGAATAATTATTATAAGATTATTATAGAATTAATATAGAATTAATAATTATTATAGAGTGAAAGGTTTTAAAAGACAAATATTTGTTAATGTTTAATATTTAATCTATGAAAAAACATAACACATATTAAAATCTAACGAATAGCCCCTGATAAATTTCGTGACAAAAAAAAAGAAAAAAAATTGAAGCTTGATTGATTTCCGGATTTTAGAAACACCTTCTAGTTTTACTATTCAATCAAATTGGTTTCGATGTCGTTCATCCTACCTGTCTCAATAGTGATTCAGCATATATTGATATCATTTTTGTTTCGTTCTTACTTAATATTAATTTGCTTGCGACAATTATTTTTTTACGTATTAATTGTTTAAATATTAATTGATTTTTGAATTGACAATTTCAATCATCTCTTAGGTATTTAAAACTGCAGCATATCACATGAAAATATTAAGTATATATCATTTTTACAATAAAGTAAAATGAAAAAGAATTCTGATCCTTAGGAACAGATATTAAATAGTCTCATGATCGAATGATGGAGCATAATTACCTTTTAAACAAATCAAATTTTTTTTTTACCTTTTAAACTAAAAATTTGCTTATTTTTATATGACTTATTAATACTCAAATTATTCAAAAGATGATATGACAACGAAGTTTTTTTTTTATTCAGTCATTTATTTACATTTTTTCCACTTCTTTATTTATTTTTATTTCATTAAATTAAATGCACACGGTTAAAATAAAAACAAAACTGTCAAATTTTTATATATAATTTCGATTTATAACTTTAAGAAATTGCTTCGACTTTGATTAGGAAATTTAAAAGCCTTATTAATGAAAAAATTGAGAAGCCTTATTAACTTTAAACACATAATAACAACAAAAAGGAGTTAAAGATAGAATGATCAATAAACAATAAAATCGTAAGCTAACTAAATTAATTAATTTCGTGTACGAACTATAATATTACAAATTAAACATATTTCATATTTAGGGGAAACATGGAAAATTTGATCATACAGGAGTTTTAGACAATTTTTTCTCATGTTGTAACATTTTTTTAGCTAATGATCATTTGATTTCAATGCTTTATTAAACAAAATCATATGTTGTTTCTGTCTATTAGCAGTAAGTAAAATTAAAATTAAATTACATTTGTTATATCAATTTTATCCGGAACTGACCAAATCAAGAGTTTTGGCAAACAGGCCAGTCAAAGAGGGAATTGAATAGTGGCCCGCCATTTAAATAAATAAACAAAACAAAACAAAATCTCAATGTATATATAAAAANGTAAAATTAAAATTAAATTACATTTGTTATATCAATTTTATCCGGAACAGACCAAATCAAGAGTTTTGGCAAACAGGCCAGTCAAAGAGGGAATTGAATAGTTGCCCGCCATTTAAATAAATAAACAAAACAAAAAAATCTCAATGTATATATAAAAAACTGCTCAAATCTTTCACGTTTTGATTGATTTACCAAAATTGATTTAATAGAAACATTTGCTTACCTCCATGTTAAAGATTTATGTCTTCTTAATATCCTACAAAAAGTTGATATAGAAATTCCTATTTCATTCTCTTACGACTGATTTGAAAAATAACAGAATTAAATCAACTACAATAATTAAATAAAGTAAACAATTATGCTAGTTGAAGCATTTAGGATGATTAAAGGAAAGAAAAGCTTTTATAATAAATTAGAAAAAATATCTTCTAAATTTTGTAAGAGAGAAAAATTCGAATTGAACGAGTCCCAATTTAAGGACGGTATGGAAATCTCAAGACAGATTTTAACAAGACCCTCCCCCTATCTACAGCCCTAGAAATGTTTTCTTCTTAGAAATTTATGACCAGAAATCAAACAAAAGGGTGTTTCTGTGGATATCTGATATTTCCGAAGTTAGGAGAAAAGAGCCCCTAGGCAATATCAGGAAGCTAAAAACATATTCTCACAGTGTAAAGTGAGGAGGCTATTTAACAACTCTGTGGGTGGTAGCTACGAAAGTGGGGATATTTTCATCAGTAGAAAAAGCGTTTTATTGCTCTTTTGGTTAGAAAAGTGAAGAATAACAATTATTTTATGTTTGTAAGCACTTCGATTAGATTTTGAAAAGCATCCAACTATGTAAAAAAGAAAAAATAATCTGAATAAATCTCTGAATAAAACTTTAAAAAAAGAAGAAAAAAGTGGGATCTGGTGGCCCTCTTGAGTTATAAATAATAAATGAGTTAGAATTTAAAAAAAAAAAA